AGTGTGTCTGTCATCTTTGCAGAGAATATTACGCTAATCATGCGATCTGAATGTAGAGTCCTCCATTCGTAAACATAGTTCCTCTCATTCAGCTGGACGCTAAATGGGCTTCGACATACTTGAGATTGCCTCTAAAGAACAAAAAAATCATTATGTGATACCTCTGATCTTCACAAGGGGATCCCCTTATTTGCAAGGAAAGAAAAAGAAATCGCCCATGAATATTCGAGGTCTTCTACAGTGAGCCGATTATCGAGTGCCTAGTCGGCCATTTGCATAAAATAAGGCCGTGTAGTTCAATATCTAGAGGATTGGCTTTCGTTGGGTGAAATGCGACCCGAACCGTCACAATCAAAAGTTGTAGGAGGTTTTGGATCAAGATGCCGGCGTGTTAAGGCTACAACCTTTTTAAACGTTTATATACGGTTTTAACCGTTTAGGTTTCCTTTTCGTGTGTGGACCGGCTCAAAAGGTTTAAAATCCGTTTTTACAAGGTTTAAACGGTGGGGGAGATTCGTTCCACAGACAATGAATTTACTGGTGGAAGTTTGATTTCTTTTGTTTTTTACGAAGTAGATGTATCCGTCCAGCCTTTTGGTTGTTCTACACTAATCAGTGAGGAGGTCCTGGCTATGGAGTGCTAGGATCTGCTCCAAAGATTGCAATTGCTCGTGGGATTGAAGCTCGGGATCGTGCCGCTCGCCACTCAGCAATCACCATCGCGCAGTCTCCTCCACGGTATTTCCCTTTGAATAACTCAACATCATCGAAAAAAATGTTCAATGCCCGCAGCATACCTAAATATCTGCATCTGGTCCGAGGCGGCGACTTCCGATTTACATTCCATGCACACTTTGGCCAGTGAGTGGTTCAACTCTGGTGAGATCCAAGGAAAGAATTGAATATTGGAACTGCCTATGAGGCCGCGAGGAGCACACCGAAGGTTGGCGACAAGCGGCATCTTCCGGAATCAGAATCAACTTGAAGGCAGTCACTTAAATTTAAAAAATACAGTACACCCCCGTAGCATAGTACGGGCATACTGCTACTGTAGTTATTTTTAACGGTGTTCTGTGTATATATTCCTTCCTTTGTACTTCCCCGGGCCCGCGTTATCATCTCGTTGCCAAGCAACTGTTGGAAGTTCTGTGAACTGCCGCGCTCCGCTGCCTCTTTCTCAGTTCTCGTTGAGGTGTACTACCAGCATGGAAAATCCACCTTGAGGGCAAGAAGTTAACCGATGATTTACCTGAAACAAACCATCAACTGCCTGTGTGCAAAAATGAGTGCCACAGTTTCTGTCCAGGCTGCGATGAAATCCAACATTTTTGGAGGTGGATAAATAAAGATTGTCCGAATTCCATATTGCGTAATTGACTGTGCTCTTTCTACCCCCCTTCACCCTCTGCACCCTCCATAGATCCGTTTCCGAGTTGTGTTGTATTCAAACTAAACGACCCCAATAATCTCCCCAACAACGCTGCGGAACGTCTTGTCTGGGTCAAACTGCGCACGTACGGCCGCGAAGCGCTGCAGGCTCTGCAACATCATACCATGAAATTAGTACATGCTCATCCCGGTAAATCGAAAGTAGGGAAACAGCACGCATTGAGGGGATGCAAGGCAGGGGAAAGACAAGAAAAGGAAAAGACGCACATCCGCATCAAGATTCTTCACCGACTGCCCAAATATGGTACGTGTGTTCTTGGTCCAGTGTGGGCGGATGGGGAACTGTGTCGTGTAGTTAGTTAGTGAGACCCCCCGATGCTCATCTAGCTTGAAAGAAACCAGACCCGTACCTCGTTGATGAGCGTCGTAGCGAGGGTGGTGTACCTATCAATCGGGCGTCAGGAGATTCTGTGAGGACGCAGAAAAAACTACTACTGACCAAGCCTCATTATACCGATGCCGGTCGCCCGTGGTGGGAACGAAGGACGGGAAGTCGAACATCATCGCACCCTTGGACCAGTCGCCCGTAATATTCCCCACGCGTTCCGTCGTCTGCCCGAGGAAGCTGTCGAAAGGCTTGCCGAACTACGGGCATCGATACACCGTCACCCCCATTGTCCACATTCCGATCCACACGACAGACACACCTTGATGTTAATCCCACTCCGATACGTACTTGTAACAGCCGTTCCATCCGCCGCACTCTGATCTAGCAGCTCTCGCACCCTGCGCAAAAGCGCTGGCCCTTGGCCGACGGGCACAGCGAGCTCCAGGGTGTGCCCGTGCAGGTTGTAGTCCCACTCGGGGAGCTCGCCGGGGTAGAGCCCGCCGATGAGGACGTCGAAGGCGTGTCCGACGACGGGCCAGGAGAGGAGGGGGAGGTTGAAGGTCGTTTCTGTGTGGGTGAGAGGGGAGTTAGCGTCGTCGTAGTTTTTATTCGTTAAAAATCCAGATAATGGAGTGGGTAGGTAGAATAAGTAAGAGTTGAAGGAAGTGGAAGAATCGCACCATGGAAATTCGGCGCACTCCAAAGCGCGTAGAACGTATCCGCAGAGAAGAAGTTGGCAGTGCTCGAGTTTTGGCCAGCGTTGAGGAGGGAGAGCGCGAGGTTGCCCTCGAGGGAGGTTACGGAGAAGGTTGACTGGACGGAACGAGTCAGGCCAATCATCAAGGACATACACATAGCCGATGCACCTGAAACGCATTCCCTGAGGCGTTGACGGGAAGAACACCATACGTGCGCATGTGGAATTTCTTAACGCCTAGAATAGTAATTAAGTCAGATTGAGCATGTCATCATTATTAAGCGGCGATGGAATACGCACTTGGCCACCACTGTGTCGAATCTTGTAAGAAGATACGCTTCAAAGCCAAGGAGAAGGTCAAGGGACGCACCCAAAAATTCGCAGTAACATACGGCGAAATCATCTCAAACAAATCCCCATTCAAAATGTACTCCTCGTCGATCGTGGTCTGGTTCGCCCACACCTTGTAGTCGGCCATGACCGCGATCTTGACGCGCGCGATGACGCCGAGGAGTCCGAGCGACGTGGTGGCGGCGAGCCAGGTGTCGTTGTTGGCGTTCTTTTCGAGGTGGATGAGATCGCCTGCGGGATTCATTATTTATTGAAGACATGGAGAGGTAGAACGAGCAGGAAGGGACAACCACCTTTGCCGTTGATGATGTCCATTGCGAGGGCTGCGGCGGAGACTTGAGAGTCTTCGCGGAGAGAGGAGCGATGAGCGCCCATTGCAATTGCGCCGCCTGAACGCGAGAATCAATAGAAACTCAGTAATCGTGCAGGCTACTCACCGAGTGTGATATTCCAGTTCACTGCACCTTCAACGTCAGCATTTAGAAACCGTATGCGGGCCCACGAACGCACCAAGAGTGAATCCAAGCGCTGCGCCACGGTCCTGAAGCCATTGGGCGCTGATGAATGTTATTTAAAATCGTTGTTAGGCATAAACAACCGAACGCACACTTGAGGGAACGTAACTCCAGCCTCGACGACAACGCTTCCTACACCACCGTTCATCTCCAGGTCCGATATCGCGTTGACGGCGTCGTTTTGATTATGATGGTATCTGGGTCGTCGGAGCACATCGTGTCGACTAAATTATGGTGAGCAGACTGCCGTGCCGCAGGACGCAGTAGACATACACCACATATGGGCATTCTGGTATTGGTCAGTACCTAGCCACGCTCGCGTATTGGAGAGGACTCACGCCACTGGCACGCACAGGGATGCCCTGTGCGCTGGCATTCTTGACGATCGCGACCATCTCATCCACGGTCGACGGTCTGTACACCTTCGCGACCGCATTACAAGCAGGGAACCCATCCCCATCGAATGTATTATACACTTCGGCTGTTCAACCATGAGAAACGCTTCACGGTTAGAGAACGAGGGACTTACACGCAGACGCGAGGCTTGCCAGCGAAATGAGCGCAAAGCTGAGGAGCATGGCGGTGGGGACTGCTTACCGGCAGGGTGGAATTTGTGGTATGCGAAGGAGATTTTGGGCGCTATATAACCACGCGGGGAGGAATGTGGGGAAACGCATGGTAGAGCGCGGGGTGGAAATCGCCAAGCCAGAACACGGTCGGCTATAAGCCACGTGATATCTCCAAAAGGCCGTCACGGCGATTCGAGCGTCCGTCACAAACGCCGCTGCATCCGAGTTGGGTGCACTGCTGAACCTGCCCGTGTTCCCTCTTTGAAACACCCTCGGGCCATCTGGGTTTTCTTTTTTCTTGAACCTCGGAATCGCACATAAAACCAAATATTCCTACCTCTGCAATCCTTCTGCGATCTTCTCAGATGTTTCGCATTGCAATGATATGTGGCATACCTGACCGTGTCGCCTTCCTGTTCTGTTTCCAACGCACATGGTAATTCTCGTAAAACAATGATTTGCAGTCATGAGGATGTGGCAGGCCGCGGTGTGATCACTGATGATTTGATCGTCGTTATATGTTGGACGTCGTTAAAGGATTCTATATCTTCGTACACAAGGTCGTGAATTCCGCCGAAAATCTATTTCCGGCTTCACCTCAATTCAGAGTTGAGTTTATGGATTCCAGGCACAAGGTCCTCTTCGCATCCCGCCCACCAGGAAGAATCTCGCACATTGCATCACATCGGTACATGGAGTGGAAGCCCAGAAGCAAAATCTGTGAGAATTCTGAGTCCATGAGAGCCGCAAGCAGAGAGTTATCCTAAATGAGAATCGGGTATTTACAAAACCCATTTGGTGAACTTTGGTGATTCCAGGGTTGCACTCAGCGTGGAATATTGACTATTCACCTCTGTTAACTGACACCGAACTGCATGCACATTTGTGAGTCGGCAATCAAGTGGGAGGAGAGGGCGCACGCTTAGAGAAGGGGCAAGACGCAGATGCCGGTTGAAAGTATTTGACTGTGCTTGGTGATCACATCGCAGTTTCGAGGTCACGGGATCTAGAGACAGTGAGAGAGGAGGCGTAGCCGGCGGTTTAAAGAAAAACGGCAAATGTGTAATAAAAACAAACCTCAATCTAAATGAAGGTCGCGCCCGGAATCGAACCGGGGTTGCCAGAAGTCCAAGATCATCATCAGAATCTGGAGTGATAACCGCTACACTACGCAACCGATATCACACCGCTCGTGCGATGCATCCGTGATGCCGGATCTGGATGCGGGCCGGCTGCGGGCCGCTCGCATCACCCTTCACCCTCTTTTTAAAATTACGGGTGTCTGAAGCCTTTTCAAACTCCGCCACCTGTCAATCAGCTTCTTGACCCGAGGTGCTTCCGCGATTTTTACCTCCTCATTAGCGCGCTCGGATTACCGCACTGATCTGACCCTCTTTGTCTCATTTAGCTTAGCGTGCTGATTTAAGAGTCTTTAACTGCCCACGCTGCTTCCAGAAATCAGCCTGATTACAAACTCCGCTGTTCCCTCAACACTTATTTATTGATCACTTTTCGTTCGCTTAGGAGCTCGGGAAGGGGATGCGAGGCCGCGAAGCGGCCGAGCAGCCGCTTGTGTTCCCTTCAAATAATCAATTCGCTGTGTTTACAAGACTTGTTCGTGCAGCCGTTAGTGTTACACTTCGTATTGTTCCACCAATATGCACGGCTAAAGCATTCGTTCCCGCCAGCACAATCGAGGGGTTGTGAGGCGAGGTGACGCATAGGTTCTTATTTCGCTGCTTCCAGGTTACTGCAAGGACCGGATTCCAGTGGGACGTTGGACTGTGCGCGATGCCTATGAGTACGAACAGGTTTAAAAAAGCTACGACACATTCTGCTTGGCGATCTCCACGACGCCGTCTATCTCACCGTTGACCGCGCTATCGGGAAGAGGAACAAGGAAGCCTTGGAGGCGACAGGGGAACATAATTGGCAAAGGGATTGCGGTGCATGCTGTAGCAATCACCGTGTATATGGTCAAGAGAAAACGTAATAGTGGAGAATATTTGGAATGGCTCTCGGTGTACTCTATCGAATTCTACGATGTGGATTAAATTGTTTACGAGCTTACTCATACTGCGTGGCGCACTCACAAATCGACAAATCCTCAGGTTCGGTATTGTGCGAGTGCGAGTGACTTCGTCGGAAAATGTATCCTCGGTTCAAGGAGAATGAGGTGTGATGTCTGTCAGGCAACGAAGAGAAGCACATAAGAAAGGCGTCGATCCTGTCGCCAATCCTCCGAAAATGTCGGCACTCCAGTGTCCTGCAGAAAGTTGTAGCCACGAGCCCCGTCGAGATCCTCAGAAAGCAATGCTTCGAATTTCTTTTTTAAGCTCATGTCTGGGTCGCAAGTCCACACATAAAACAATGAATTCCGGTCCTTATAGATGCGAAGGTTATTATTCCATAGAATGAAATTGCCTCGTTGTGGAGAAGCTCCAGCTCCGTGAAACAGACTCCACACCTTGACGTTAACAGCTGTTAACTGATGCATTTCCCGCAGCGCCTCTGGATAATCCAGGGTAGCCGAAATGAGCGTGGATCAAGAAAATCAGACGACGGCTGCAATTCATGGGACGTGCGGCAATGCGAACAAATCTTAGGCCGGGATTGTTTAGTAGCAAAATGAGAAGCTGCCCAAAAGCTGTCGACGATACACGGAAAAACCATACAAACAGGCGAGGATGCAGGTCAAGTGCCTCAAAGCGACAGCGTGACCAGTAATCATTCAACACTTGATGCAAATCTTCCGCCTACCGCTCAGAGTACTTACCAAAAACTCAGGTGATCCGAGGAACCATGTAGTGCGTTCCGATCAATCTCGGGTCACTGGATAGTCATCGCTGTGCTCCTGGTTTCAGTTTCCTTTGGGCTTTGTGGGGTACGCAGGGTCGGTCACCGGAGAAGCACTGATAAGTACACCATTGCAAGCGGCCGTGTCGCTTGTTAGGCTGATGATCGCCGTTTCTTCCACGAGAATTCTTGCTAGAATTGTTCATGTTAAGTTCGAGGAATGCCGAGAGTCCTCGCAGATCTATGACTTGTTCTAATCTACAGTATAAGCATATTTGCGAACGGCCAACCTATTATCAAGCCTGAGATCCATCGGGATCTGGACATCGGTCGATGTCCACATCATGACGGCGCCACTTACTCGTTGCCCAAACATGGATAGGCCGTATGTTCGCGGGCTCAATCAAAGTGAATTGTTGCTCAAGGCGGTAGGTGCCGCGGAATCTGTAACGGGTGAAACCTGGAAGGCTGAGGGAAGATATCCGAATTCAAGCATCGGACAGTGGATTTCCGACGGAGGCTGTTCAATTTCTAGGGCATCTCTTGGATAGTCTTTTGGGCTGTTTCCACACATATTATGGGATAGACAATGAAATATGGAACTTTATTACTATCGTTAAATCGCGGAAATTGGTCTTGTGTGGGCAATAATGTAGCCGCGAAACGTCGAAGCCAGTACACTATGGTCATTTTCCACAATAGCATTGGCCATGGCAGGAACAACTACTTAAAAGAATAAGTTCACATACAAAAAGAGTTGAAATCATCCTACTCGTATTGAGCCTGATATGCGGAACTGGGGAGGCTGGAAGAGTTGTGCTCGCCAAAGCTTGATGCGAGAAATGGTTGAGGCACCTGAGTCGCCGAGGTACGATAGTTGTACGGCGCCGTGTGAGAGGGATCGGTGTTTGGGGTGTCGTTGTATGAAGTAATCAATCCGTTGTTGTGAATATTGGGGTGAGCCGGCGGCCAGTTTGCATGAGCGATGGGTGATGCAACAGACCCTGGTTGACTGACTGGAAAGCCCGGTCCAGGGTAGAAAGGGGAAGGCCCGGGCGGCACAAAGGCGCTGTGGCCATAGGCTGTTGGCTTGGTCCAGCTTGGGCATCCGTAGTCTGGCGGAAGAGACTGATTGTTCGCGCACGGCTGCGTGACGGACTGAGGAGGTGACGGCGAACCATCCTCCCAGTCGTATCCGGTTTCGAAGAGTGCTCTTTCCTGCTGTACGCACACAGGCAAGTATTCGCACTCCAACCCTTTCTTGGTGCACCGTTCGCATTGCGGGTTGGGTGAGCTTATTACGCACTGAGTATCTGAGGTCAGAGTATTTTAGGGACTGAGGAAATGGGACTGACTCTAACTTTCCGTTTGCGACAATGAATACACGCGACGTAGATTCGCTTTCGCTGGGTGAACGCTTTGAGTGAGGATCCTGACGGAGGGCGGGATGACATTTTGGATGTTCGGTAAGGGCAATATCGGGAGTCGCGATTTATATAGGCATTTTGGAGCCTCTGTGAAGTCCTTTACAATATTTCCTGTTTCATGAACGTAAAGGCTGAGCTGCAGTATACTGTATCCGTCAACCATTTTTCGCTTAATTTTGAAGGAGAGTGAGCGAGCGGTGTGGCTGTGAGAGTCCGGATCATGTAGACTTGAGATCCACGCGATCTTCGTTGTCCACCACGAGCGAAAAAAAATTGATGGATAAAACCGTTGGTACAGTGAAACGCTTCGGGATACGTGCGAAGGGCGTTTTTTCCTTGATTGGAGCCAGTCACATACCAAGTTTCGCACAGATGGTGACAACTTGACAATCATTGAGCACAATTCAATAGTAGGATAAAGAGTGTCTCAAGTTTACTCGGGCATCGCGGTCGTTGCCCGCAATGCAGCCGTAATTCCCGCTCAACAGACTCTAACGTACAATGACTGCTACCGGACGAAATGTAGGCGAAATAGTTTATGTCTGCTGTCTGGGCTTGATCGTGCAGCGACGCCACAGCCTTTACCGTCCGGTATTCATTCTACCAACCGAGATCATGAAAGCCCGGTGACGGTGCTGCGCCATCAGTGCCCCGTGCATCGAGGTCAGCTCGTCACAGCCCCCGCTGACGCCTCTTATTAATAGCTTCGCTAGGAGCACTTTTCGCCGAAGGAGGTTCGTATCAATAAACGAGCTATCTTTTGCTCATCATATCAATCATTGCTGGCACAAACTGCGGACTGCTGGCAGCTGCAGAGCCACGCAAAAATGTTCGACAAGGATCAGAAAATAACACCAAGTGCGGCTCCGTGCAGAGCAGGTCGAGTGCAACCGGACATTTCGGTCCAACCTTGGGCAGGGAAATATGGTGGCTTCTGGCTTCTGGTGACGAACGTGGCGCTGAGTGGTGCAGCGATGAGATACTCCATTGGGCAGCTAAATACTATCTCATTATTTTTCTTACCTTTGATTTCGATTTTGATGAGTGTTTCTCAAGTTCAACCATCTTAACCCTGTCTTTTGCAAACCTGCTGGCGCATACCTCAATCTCCTCAGCGTGATCAGTAAGCTTGTCAAGAGCATAGGCTTTAAGGTCCTAAATAGAACTCCCCGTGGTTAACGCACTTAGCCAAGAATTCCCCGCCTCGCTCAGTGCAAACTCAGTGGCAATATGCTCTGGAAAATTTGTGCCTCCGTTGCAGCAAATCATACATGAGGTTGTCCTACTGTGGAGAGCCGAGATTTTGAGATTTCAACGCCAATGGATTCAAATCGAATAACTTTGGTTGCATAGGTTGCGTAGCTGGGCTCAGTAACCATGGGACAGCAGCCACCCAGTAATGAAAGGTTCAATTTCGCGCGGTCACCCGTTCGACTCGGGGTCGAGCCATTCGGTGTTTTCTGCGTACTTTTTGTTCTTTCGTCCTTGCGGTCACTGAAGTGGAGATGCCGACCAATCATGCACGAGAATTGTGTGGAAATATACGGCAGGAGAATTCGTCTCCATACAGCGAGCTGTGGATGATAATGGATGTAGTAGTTTTGGCTCAATGATCGTGCAAGTAAGTGCTCAGAAACTCAGTCGGAATACCTCCTATCCTCCTCGTACGCCTCCAGCCCGCGCGTCTCCTCCTCCTTGAATGTCACTGGCACATACTTGGCGCTTGGGGCCCGCGCAGGGCCGCTCTGCTTGACGTACAGCGCCACACCCACAGCCGCTAGGATCAGCAGCACCAACAGATTTCCCGCTTAGCAGCCCGATAACGATGAGCGCGTGCTGTTTGACGGTAGAGTCGCTGCTGCCGTTGGCGGAAGAGTCACTGGCGTCGACGGTGAGGGAGCCGGAGGCGGAAGTACCGGGAACGGGAGTGGCGGGCAGTACGGAGGCAGGAGGG